AGTGACCTGGATTGTCCACAGAGGGACCCGGGTGGAGGAGAACATTCTTCAAATCATTGAGCTCACGGGCTATGAACAGACATACTCAAGAACAGAAAATGTGGCTGCTCTCTCTGTCTCTGCTTCAGCTTGCTGTGCAGCCTTGGGGAAGAGTCTCGCCTTCTCTGGGCTCCCACTTCCCATAGCTCTCTTCCAAGGTGCTTCTCCCTCCCATCCAGATCTGACTCCTTCTACCTCTGACGATTCCTTCTCCCTCTGGCTCTTCAGACGGAAGTGCGGTATTCCGAGGCTGCTTCCGAAGGCCCGACAACCTCTCCCTGGCCTTGCCTGTGACCGCCGCCATGCTGAACATGTCTGTGGACAAGTGCGTCGACTTCTGCACGGAGAAGGTGAATGGAGGATCCTGCTTGCTGTGCTGGGGGGTGGAGAGGGGCTGAAGGAGCAGGACGCTATCTCGAGAATCCACAGTCAGGGTGAAAGAGGTCACAAATGCCGATGTGGGACACGGGAAAGGAATATGGTTGCTGCACGTGGTTTCCGTGGGTGGAGGGCGGAGTCTGTCCGTCGGAGGGAGTGTATGCTAATCTCGCTCAGGGATGAGGGCAGTGCTTCAGCTAGGAGAAGACTTGTGGGCCGAAGCAAGGACAAGCCCACCCGAGGGCAGAGTGAGCTCTCTGTCCCTGCACATGCGCACGCAGAGGCAAGGCAGGGCTGGCGTCCAGAACTGTAGGCACTGGATGGCAGCTGGATCACATGGTCTACAGATCCCTCCTCAGTTTAAGGCCTTTACTGCCTGACAGTTCATCCTTCCTCCCTAGCCAGGCTGTGACAGATCGAGGGAGGGAGCTGCGCTTGTACACACTGTGCTGCCCGGTGTCTGGCCCAGAGCTAGGCACATAAACAGCAATCAGTGATGTCTAAGGAGCTCCGGCCTCCCTTTAAAAGGAGCTAATTACGTGAGTGTCCACAGCCATCCCTTCTTCCCTTCCAAAAGGTTTTTTTTTCGTTCATTTACTCTCAAATATTGAATAAAGCCCTACCATGTGCCAGGCCCCAGGCTGAGCCCTGGGGATGCGAGTCCACAAGCCCGGTGCCCATCCACCAGGTGCTAGTGTTAGCTGAGCACTCCTGGGGGGGGACGGGCAGGCCTCACGTGGAATCCTGACCCCGGCTCTGCTCTGGCTCTTTCTGCTCTGGCTCTTTCTGCTCGGCTGTTTGTCTCCCTAGCGCCTCATGCACGAAGCCCCTCTCAGGAGGACTGAGAGGCTGCAGCAGTGAAGAGGAGGCTGAATGAGCTCAGGGCATCCTCCCAGCAACCCCCAGGGGTCACAGTCTTACCGCAAGCGTGTGAGGTTGAGATTTTTCATCCTCATTTCGCGGGTGAGAAACACAAGACTCAGGCGTGAAGCTCCTTGCCCAGGCTCACAGCACGAGTGAGTGCAGAGCTGGGGTTGGCACCAGGGACTGACTCCAAACCCACGCTGAGCTGCCAAGCTACTCTGGGGATCCCACGGGCAGGCTGTGCTAGCAGTTCAGAGTGTCTGGCATGCTTCCAGTCTCCAGGCATTCCCTAAGCGGCATACTGGAAGGTGAGGGGTGGAGTCCATGAGACTACAGAAGACTTAATCTCAGTTGGTCCTGCCTTCCCGCTGGGCAGGAATCCCCTACCCCAAAGGCAGACATTCCTTTCCTCTGCGGGCCTGCATAAGCCTACGGATCAGCCAGAGCAGGGAGACCCACATAGGAGAACGAGAGGCCGCACAGTCAGGCCACATGTGGGTGAATGTCGCATAGGAAGCCCTCTCTGCAAGCCTCCCTCTTCCTGTTTCTCGGTTCTCCTTGGGACTGAAAGAGAAAAACTGGTAGAGTCACCAGAGCTGAGTGCTGAGGGTCCAGAGTGACTGAGGAGGCTGCAGTGTGTGTCACTAGCTAGAAGATGTCATCCCCCGTCACCCGTGGCCCGAGTAGGCCTGCCTGCCTATCAGCACCTCTCCCTCTGCTCTCAGCCAGAGCCCACACTTCCTCTTTAGTGTCTGGTAGACAGCAGCTGAACCTACGGCGGCAGCTCACGGGATGTGGCCTGTGGTGTGAGGTGAACATGGTCCGGAGTTCTTCCTAGACCAGCTCCAGCGGGAAGGGCAGGCTGTGGGTCTGGTTGAGAAGCGCAGTGGACACAGATGGTCACTTACCCTCCAAATGATGGGTCCACCCTGCTGTCGCTCAGCTGTCCCACAGGAAGAATAAAGCAATTGGAAGTAGCTCTTTCGACAGAGCCTCTGGCGAAGCGTCTGAGTCAGCGTCCTTTGCGCCTCCACAGCCTTCCCCAAATACAGGCTGCTGTCACCGTCAGAGCAAGGGGCTGTTTACTGGGGCACAGTGCACGGCACAGAGAGAAGCATTTCTTTCTCAGTCCTCCTTCAAGTCCTCCCCGAGTGGGCTTCATCTCACAGCTCAAGTGTCTTTCATATGTCCCTCAGCTAATCTCTCTTTTGCAGGAAAAATGGAGCGGACCCCAGGTTCAGCATCTTGGCAGGCCAGAGTGCCTAGGCAGAATGTAATTACAGTTCCTCATCCACGTCTGAGGGCCATGCGTGCCCAGATGCCCTGCAGATACCAAAGTCTAAGGATGCTCAGGTCCTTGGTATAAAGTGGCATAGGCTTTGCCACAGGACCTCCCGATAAGCTTTAAATCATCCTGCGATAACTTAGAACAGGATGAATGTTATAACCCAATACAGCGTGAATGCTGTGGAAACAGTGGCTCTATCTATTCTATTGTTTAGGGAGTAGTGACAAAGAAAAGCAAATCTAAACATGCTCAGTACAGGCGCATAGTTTCCAAATATTTTCAACCCATGGTTGCGTGGCTCTGTGGGTGTGGAGCCTACAGATTGTTTTGTTTCCATGGCATTTGGTATTTGCATTGATAGTATGGAAACATGCATAAGAGCCACGTGTCCACAAGTACTTCCTGTGGTAATAAGCGATATAAAATCTCCTTTGAAAATTAGGTTTTAAATGTGGAGTCGACTTAAGCCAAGTGTGACGGATGGCACACGCCCGTAATCTCAGCACTCTGGGAGGGTGAGGCAGGAGGAGCGCAAGTTCCAAGCTTGGCCTGGGCAACTGAGCAATTTAACAAGACTCTGTCCTAAAAGTAAAATTTTTTGAGAAGATCTGACTTCAAGGAATCAAATAAATAAGAAGCAGAGGTGCACACGTGGGACAGAATCGCAAAGGCCAGGCTCCCCGTCCAAATTTCAAGGCTTTGAGGACTGAGATTCTTAAGACAGCGTGATGGGGCAGAGGGTGGGGGGTGGGGAGTGGGGGGTAGGATCGGATGTGGATCCCACCCCCATCCTCAGTCCAGGGCTGGGCAGCTATGTGACTGTCTTTCTCTCCATCTCCATCCCCCAGGAGTACCCGTTGGCGGCTCTCGCGGGCACCGCCTGCCACTGTGGGTTTCCCACCACACGATTTCCCCTCCATGAGAGAGAAGACGAACAGCTCTGTGCTCAGAAGTGCAGCGCAGAGGAGTTTGAGAGCTGCGGGACTCCCAGCTACTTCATTGTGTACCAGACGCAGGTCCAAGGTGAGCCCAGGGGGCCCTCCCTGTGGCCTCTGTGCCACCCACGTCCTGGCCATCAGGGTCAGAGGACAGGGCTGCGAACTTGGCCAGGCTTAGAGCTGTGATGGACCATAAAGGAAGTGCTCAGGGAGACTGTGAGAAACCCATCTCTGTCCACCTCACTAAGGACCTTTGGTTGCTCATTTCTAATGAGAGTAGAGAGTGAGACTGAGTGGGGAAGAGAGGTGGGCCTCCCACACGCCCCAAGATAGACCTGTGATTGCGGGCAGCTCATTCCCCACTCCAGGCCTCTGTTGGGGGACTTGCCTGAAGCCATACTGTTTATGAAACTTTTCTCCTGACCAAAACATTGTGAATGGTGGCTGGCATTTGGGTGAGGGTGGAAGCCATTGCTCGCTGGGACACTCAGCCCCACAGCGGCCCCTGAAGGACCAGCCCAGTGTCTGAACATGCTGACCACACCCTCTGAGCCAGCCTAGGGCAGCCTGCATCTCATTCAGGGATGTGCAGTCCGCAGGAAGCTGATGCTCTAGGCAGCACCATCCTCACTTTACACACAAGTGAACAAGACCAGAGAGCTTCGAAATGGGCCACAGTTACGCCTGCATGAGAGCAGTTTGCTTTCAGGTCTCTGACGCCAAGAGTCCTACTAGAACCTTCTGCCCGTGGTGGGAAGAACACTCCTACCACCCTCTGAAGCCTGCACGGCCAACAACACACTTTGGGGCCAAACGTTGTTCCTTCTCACCTTCCTGTCACCAGGCCACCACATACAGATAGGCAGGTTGGGCCCTGTACAGAAATGGCTTCCAAGGAAAATGACGCCTGAAAGGTGGCCCACGCTGTCACGCCATGCATTCTAGATGGCAGCATATCTGCCCAGAGGATGAGCCACTTGCCCTTTCTTCATTTGCACAAAAGTGCTGTGAGAGTTAGTGGCCGCCCCACCGCGGCTCATCGCCTGCTTGGCATGGTGTCTACCGGTGCTGGCCAGCCATGGCTGCTTCCACGGCAGCTGAAGTCCTGCTGATGGCCCCCTCAGCGGGTGGCTCTGTTGGCCCCACTTCTGCTCCAGCAAGGAGGGATGAGTGCTGCTGGTATTCAAGGATGTGTCAGTACATTTGGGCAGAACCGTGGGGCCTCCACTGGAAGCGGGACATAGCAGGTTAACTACGCTGTGGCCAGGAGTGGCTCTGATGTGGCCTGGGTGGATGCTGGAAAAACAGGCCTTGTGGATGAGTTTGCTTGTTCCCAGGGCTCTGGGCTGGGCCATCACTTCTCCTCAGTTTTTCCATGTCAACCCCGCCCCCACACACACACAGGGAGAAGTTTCCAGCGTCACATGGTTTATCAGGCTGCCCAGCACCCGGTCCATCTGGGAGCCCAGCTGCTGTGCATTGAGGACCTCCTGCACACCAAGCCCTGATCTTCCTGAGGGTCACTAAATAACAATTAGGCATTTATGTTGCACAGAGCCCTGTTGAAGCCCTTTGTATAGCCACCCTCCTCTAATCTCCGTGCTCCAAAGCCATAGGTGTTGTGGTTACTGTTTTACCAAGGTGAAGTGGCTCAGCATTCAGAGAGTGAGGAGACTGGTCAGAGGTACACAGCTGAGACAGGGCAGGGATGGGGTTCAAACTCAGGCTGAGCCAAGCCCAGGTCCCCGATCCTGTTTTGACCCGCAGCTTCTCAATGGACACTGCAAGTATTTTACATTCCTATGCTCTTTTATCCTACAAGATTTATTAGCTCTGTTTTACAGGTGAAGAAACTAAGACTCGAGAGGTGTCGGGCACTGTCCAGTGTCCTAGGGGTCCAGGATGGAAGCCTGCATATCAGAGCTGAAAGCATTTATAATATGACTAAGAGCCTTTGCTGCGACTTCTGGGGTGCTTAAGACCCAAATAAACTTTCTCTTCTAACATCGAGAATGGCAGCCTTTATCTCAGCATTGGTGTTCTCCCAGGAATTATTTGAATGAAGAATTCTGTTTTCAGAGGAGACTCAGAAGCTGGCGCCCCACCCCCACCCCCACCCCCAACCCTTCATTATGAAAAAAAATGTCAGACCTCGGAAAAATCAAGGCTTACCCAGGAACATCCAGATGTTCTTTCACAGGTTTTATATTTGGTAACTTTCTGCCACTCTGCTTGGTAGTATCTTGCTCACGCATTTCGAAGTTGTAAACACCACTGTAATTCTGTAAAGCAGTGCTTGCTTGGGATATTTTGGAGTCACATTTCCATGGAGTGTGATGCACAAATTTTAAGTGAACCAGTCAACAACCTCTTGGCAATACACACCCCTACCCAAATATGGTAGAACATGGTCATACTGTAGATAAAGGGCCGCCATCCAGGATCCTTTCTTGGTGTGTTTCTGTGAAAACCACTCACAGAGGCTGTATGCCAGAGTTCTTTGGTATTTCCTCTCTGGTATCCGCCCTCCTCAGAACAGACTCAGCACACATAGAAGAGGGCGGACCCTCTGGCTGGTAGCAACAGTGCTAAGAGCTAAGGTTGGTTGGCAGGTGGTAGAGGATTACATTGGGTGGGCCCCATGCTAAGGGGCCAACTACACTTTCCAATTTAAACCTCCTGACACCTTCGGCCACCACTATTGCTTAGTAGTCCCATTTTACAGGTGAGGAAATCAAAGCTCAGATAAATCCTTGGGTCAAGGTCATCCAGGAAATAAATGGCAGAGTCAGCATTTGAATGCAGAATGTCAGACTTCTCCTTCAAAGGGCTGTTGTGGAAAAATCAGCGAGGCTTCTGGTAGGATTTTCAGTAAATGGCAGCTAAGGAAAACTGGGAAGGAGCCAGGGTGATGCCTTGGGAAGGAATTGTTGGAGGGGCAGAGTGGTCTGAGGAGCTGAGCTTGGGCAGCATTTAGCACTGGGCAGTCCCTGGGGACCATGGCAGGAGCCGCCACCACATAGTGACCTAGGAGAGAGTGGGTGCAAGGGGCTGGGGAGCACGCAGAGGCAGGGGGACAGCTCCATGCTGCTCGTGATGCAGAAGAGGCACAGATGGCAGTCCTTGGAGAGGGGAGGTCTCAGTTCGGAAGCTTCGCCTCCACGCTCGAACACTGATGATACTGAGCAGGCTGAGAAGGAGAAGAGGGAGCAGAGGCGGCAAATGGAACAGGAAGCTGCAAGAGTAGAGGACAGCTGCTTCCCTGAAAGTGGGAGGGAAGAGGAGAGGCCAGGGGAAGTGAGGAAAGTTGGCCCACCTTCCCCCCTGCTGAGTTCACCTGCCCATGTGCAGAAGGCAAAAGGAGCCCTGGGCTGGGGGCCTCTCTTCTGCCCTCTCTCCCCAGAACCCCTGTACTGACCCTCACAGCTGCAGGGACCCAAGGAGATCACAGATTGTTCTAGACTCTCACCAGGTTGCATTTTCCAGGAACTCCAACAGCAGTGGAGCCCTGAGGTTTTGGGAAAGCCAGAGAAGCAAGAACATCAGGGTGGTGCTCACCTAACCCATTTCACAGAGTAGGAACCTGAGGGCTGGTGACAAATACCAACGGCTTCTTTGGAGCATGTTTACGTACATTACATGCATTAGTCATGTAACCCTTGCAATAAGTCTAACAAAGCAGATATGCCTGTCACCCATCTATCACACACTCATCCATGTGGCTATCTATCCAGCCATCCTAAAAGCATTTATTAAGCACCTCCTGTATCCCAAATATTATGGGAAGTAGTGGGGAATCAGCAAAGCACAGTACAGGTAGTTTATGACCCCACACATGACACCAGTGCTGTAAGACTCATCAAACTTCGAATCCCAGGTACTTGAGAAATTGAGGCAGGGGAGTCACAAGGTAGAGCTCAACCTAGACAATTGAGTGACTTAACAAGCGCCCGTCTCAAAAAAATCGAAATGGATGCTACTCTGTGCCAAGCCTCTGGGTTCACTCTCCAGTTCAACCACAGAACAGCAGAGTGGGGGTGGCTGGAGAGAGAAGCAGATGTGTTCTCATGGAACTGGAGAATTTCTGTCATTCCCGATTGGTATTGTGCTGGTTGGTCGTTACACATGCTTAGATACTGTCTCAGTTACTTTTCTCTTTGCTGAGACAAATACCTGACACCCAAAGTTAAAGGAGGAAAAGTTATTTAGCTCACAGTCTGTAACGGTTTTAGTCCATGATTGCTGGCTTCTGGGCAGGGTGGTACAGCAGAGGGGCCTGGTAGAAGAGAAATAGTTTATGGTGGTCAGAAGGTAGCAAAATAAGCAAAGGACTTGAATGGTGTCTTTCTGACCTTTTTTTCTGATCTGGGCAACTGGGGATGGGCAGCACTCACACCCTTAATGCTGGTGCCCTGGAGCCTAGCACTACACCGTGAATCGATCCCAGTGTCACACTGTAGTAGATCCAGTCACCTCTACAAAGCCCCACCTGTGGCTGCATGAGGCTTGGGGGGGGGGCATCTAGACATAAGCCTTGACAAATACACAAATACTGCTGTGTCACAGTTGCCCACTGCACTCAGCCCAGTCACATGCTGTACAGATGTGCAGCCCGGGAGTGACAGTCCATGCCACACAGCCCTGGTGCGTAGCAGGCTGTGCAGGTACTAACTGTGATGTCCGCCCAAGGACCAGATCGTGCATTTCTCAGACATCCATGCATGTCTCAGAAAGCCACCTTAGCACAGATACTTACAACCAGCAAATCTATGCCATCCCTAGAGGTGCACGTTCACCTTGGGGACATTGCTTCAGTTACAGTTGTGACAACAGTGTGGAAGCGATGGAGAAAGCAACATGGTGACAGTAGCTCAAGGTGTCAGAAAAGAGAAAAGGAAGCACAGTTTCAGTCTGGAGGAAAGCGTAAAGGTGAATGTGGAAGGAAACAGGCTGGAGAGAAGATTTGTCCTCCTGGCTGGTGTTCATTAAGTGCCTACTATGTGTTAAACACTATGCTTTTATTCATGACCTTATTCAGTCCTCACCCCAGCCCTGTTCCCTCATGTCACAGATGGGGAAACAGACCTACAGAGGTTTCAATCACGCGTGCTAGGTCACATGGCTGAGAAGCGGCAGGGGTGTGGCTCAGCCCCCGGCCCCTTCTGTGTAGGCTGCAGCTGCCTGTGTCGTGTCCCTGATGTCTCTATGGCCTTACCCTTTGCAGACAACCGCTGCATGGACAGAAGGTTCCTTCCAGCCAAGTCCAAGCAGCTCATCGCTCTGGCCAGTTTCCCAGGGGCCGGCAACACGTGGGCCCGGCACCTCATCGAGCTGGCCACTGGCTTCTACACGGGCAGCTACTACTTCGATGGCTCCCTGTACAACAAAGGTGAGGAGATGGGCAGAGAGGGCAGGAGACCTCCTGGACTTAAGAAGGGGTCTAGGGGTGGGCATGGACTACCCTTTCCTGAGCACCTACTGTATGCCGCTGAGCCTGCCCATGAAACCTACTATGTGCTTCGTACCTTTCCTTCCTTCTCTCTCCAGCCACCCCCACTCTGCTGTTCTGTGGTTGAACTGGAGAGTGAACCCAGAGGCTTGGCACAGAGTAGCATCCATTTCGATTTTTTTGAGACGGGCGCTTGTTAAGTCACTCAATTGTCTAGGTTGAGCTTTAGATTTGGCAAACATCTCTCCAGTTTTATGACCCAGGTATCTCACCTGTACCCACTCAGTAATTGACGTCTATCAATCACCTATCATGTGCCTGGTCCCTTTCTTCATTCTGTTCAACTTAAATGTTCCTTAAGTTCCTACTGTGTGCTGAGCACCTTGCCATAGATAGTCATTGACCAATGACTCTATGCTGTCCACAGAGGTTCACTTTGATGACAGAGATTGGCACCAGGTTGGGTTCACATGTGTTTCCTGAGCGCTGCCATGTTTAGGGTATTCCTACTGTGGTTTTCAGCATGCACTTACAGAGCACTGAGGGTGTGATTGACAGGTTGCCCTTGTGGATGTCGACCTCGCAAAGATGTTCTCCTGGCCGCCGCCTGGTAAGCGGGCCAGATGGGGCCCTCTCACCTAAGCTGCACATGAGGCCTGGGGCGAGATGACGTTGCTCTTCCCTAGACACAAAAACTGAGGCTGGAAGCAGGGATTACTTTACCCAAAGTTTTCAATGCATGGATCAGGGACTGCACCCTACTCTTTCTTAATTTCAGATTCCTCCTCTTGCTTGCTCCATTAGCCGGGCAAGAAGTCCCTGGATTTCTTACTGGGGATTAGAAACCAAAGATGTACACTGGGTGTGAAGCCCTCTCCCAGACATAGGTCCTCTGCTTACTTGAGGGGATTTTACGTGTATGTGGGGGAGCAGCCCTTAGCCATGGGCTTGGTGTCTACAAGGCAGCTGAGGACCACTTCCTGGCCGCCTGACCTTGGGCAAGCTCCCGTATCTCTCTGACTGTGTGAGGTCAGGCACAAATTAGGGATACCACTGTGTACTTAGGTTACTCCGTGGCTGAGAAGTTCATACATGTAGCACACTTGGCATGTAGTAAATAGGCTGTGAGCATTAGGGCCTAGGTACTGGAGACTCGTCACACACAGGCTGGGGGCTGACAGGGAGCCACCCCGAACTGTAGCTCAGAGAGAGCTGGGGGCAGATCTCCTGAGAAAAAAACAGAATGGAGGCAGAGGCTGGGGGAAAGGCAAGAAGGATGAAGAGGGCTAGGCCAGAGGCTGGAGTCACCAGGGGGAGGGTAGGTGACCTCAACTGTTTTATTTGGGCTGGAGCAGTCACTTATTGAGCACTTATGTGAGACCTAGTGAGTTGTATACTTGGGTCAGGATTTGAACCCAGGCCTGGCTATCAACCATACCAGTGCTCTGACCCTGGACTATACTGGCCTGGTGAAAGATGCTGGGAGGAGCTAAGGCAAATTCTGTAGAGTGGCTGAAAACATCCAGGGTTCCCCCAGTGTCACAACTAGAAGGGCTTTCAGGGTCACTAAGGTCAGGGACTCCCAGCAGGGTGTCCCTCTCCTACTGGGGTGCATTAGAAAGGCTAAGATGATATGTTCCGGTGAGGTTTTAAGGCTTCTGAGCACCTCTGCTCCCTCAGGGGCAGAATGACGTGAGCTAGCAGGGAAAGTACAGCAGGGGGAACAGCAGTTTACACGTCAAGTATTTGCCACCTCTCACCTAGCTTCAGGGAAAGAGAAAGTAAATCTAAAGGTAGAGCCAGGAGATCCAACTTTCAGTCTGAAAGCTCACTCCGCTGCTTGAGCAAGATTTGCCACCTCTCCAAGCTTTCACATGCTTGTCCCTAGTACAGGGAGGTCAGTAAGGAGCTCACAGATTTTCCAAAAATAGAAGACAGAAATTGTGTTTGTCAGATAACATGTGTAAGGCTATGGTGTAAAATATATACATGCTCGGGCCAGGGAGATAGCTCAGTGTCTAAGCGCCTGCCTGGCAAGCGCAAGGACCCAGGTTCAATCCTCAGGACCGTATGCCTTGCAGAGCTGGCCACTAAAACTGGGTGTGGGGGCGCACACCTGTGGTATCAGCACTGGGGAGACTGAGACAGGTGGATCACTATGAGTCTGAGCTGCATAGCAAGACCCTGTACAAAATACATAAATTTAATATATATTAAATGACACACGAGCAGGACCATCAGCTAGTCATCAAAGTCAGCGCAGGTCTGGGCCCTGGCTGAGCACTTGGAACCGCCAGGGAGCTTTTAGTTTGGACAGCAGACAGCTACTGCTACCTTTGCTGCTCACCAGGATTCAGGGCCAGGCCTCGGCACTTTCTCACGTCTCTTCCGGGGCTTCTGATGCAAAGCCAGAGCTGAGACCCCCGCTGTAGGCTAAGAACCCAGTATCCCTTCCCTCAGACCCATAGCATTCCAGACCTCCATCTCTGCCCTGCAGTTTTAGACCCTAGTGTTGAACACTAGCAGCGGATCACTGCCGGAGCGAGGTGCTGTGTGACTCAGCTTCCCGTCACTGTGAGGAACGCTGGAGAAACCCAGCTTTAAGAAGGAAGGGCTTGCTTGGGCTCACAGGCTCAGAGGTCCAAGTCTGTGGTGGGTTTGCTCCATGGTTCTTAGGCTGCTGGCAGAAAGGGCACAGTGGAGGAGAGCTGTCTGCTGCCTCGTGGCAGCTGGGGGTTGGTGGGAGATGGGCGCGGGCAAGATGTCTTCCCCCGGGCTCATCCCTGAGAACCTACTCCCCTCCACTAAGCCACCGTCTCCTGTCAGATCAGAAACTCACCAGCGCATTAACCACTGATGAAGTCAGAGCCCGCAGGACCCACTTGTTCCCCAAAAGCCTCAGCTCTGAACCCTGCTACACAGGGGACCAGCTGTCTCAGTTACTCTTCTCTCATTGCTGGGGCAAATACCCGACACCCAAAATGAAGGAAGGAAAGGTTGATTTAGCTCGCAGCTGCTAGAGGTTTCAGTCCCTACTCAGCTGGCTCCAAGGCAAAGTGGAACGTGGCACCGAACAACCTTTCATGGCAGCCGCAAAGAGCAAGAGAGTGCACAAGGGAGGAGTAGCAGCAGCTCAAGCGGCTAGCTTCTTTTCCCTCCTTATATTGTAATGCAAATTATCTGCTCCAGGGCAGATGTAGTGCTCACACCCATAATCCCAGTGGATCATGGGTTAGGGACAAACTCTGGAAGTCTGCCCTGTGACTGCATGAGGCTTTCAGGGAACAACTAGACACAAACCATAACACCAGGCTTCCCAACAAGTGCCTCTGGGAGATTGAACTCGATTTTTCTTTTAAATTAAGAAGTGGGGGGAGACAGACAGAGAGAGAGAGACAGTGATAGA